GAAGAAGAAGAGCAAGATAACAATAACTCGAATAAGTCAACAACGAATGCTCAGCCAAATAATGCATCTAAAATAAATGATGTATCAACACAAACTGATCCTCTTCATTAATACAGTTTATTTGCTTCATATGGTCTTCTTCTAATAGAAGACATCTGATTATTTTATTTTAAATTAATAAATGCTTTTTTAAGTTCAAGAATTATCCATTCTTCTTATCAATATACTTGCTTTGCTGTTTTCTGAAAGTATTTGATTTGTTATACACATACCAGATTCAAATTATTGTTGTATAAAGTTTCAAAAATTGAAAAAAATAGTTGAAACAAGAGCAATTACGTGTTTCAAAATGAAATTCAATCTAAAATATGAATAAAATGATGAATATTCACTTGTAATGATGAAATTATCCTTAATTATTAATACATTGGTACATCATTTCAAAACTTCTGTTCTTCAAGCAAATAGACAAGATGTAAAAATGTTTTATATTGTATTTTATACTTAGAAAACATTATCTATCCTTATTTACATCTACTGTTCATAGATTACTTGTAAAATTAGCAATGGAATGGCAAAAGGTGGTATCCAACGCTATTGAACGTCTTCGTTACATTAGCATTTCTTGACAAAATGATTGATGTCACATTAATAGTTATTTCTAATAAGTGATAAAAGATAAATGTCTAGCTCACATATTTTTTCATCAGAAATGAGCAACGATTGTCATTTATTTCTTCTAATTCTTTAATCATTACTTTTGTTCATATATCAAGATTAAGAAAGATTTAAAGTATTTCTTTACCTTTGACACTGAATATTTTATCGCTTTTCTCCATATAACTTGATATACAAATTAAAATTTATGTACCCTTATAAATTTGAACTTAAGAAAACGAAAAGAGTACAGTCATAGGATGACTTTTTAAATTAATTGTAGATTTAAGATTACACTTACCAATCTAGCATCATTATATTCGATGCTTGCACGGCCATATAGGAGACAAAATCAAAAGCGAAAATAACTCAACTGGCATATAGTCAACTATGAAAAAGAATGGAGAGTGATTACTTTTTTCTCATGACTTATATAATAGCTGTTTCTACTGAACTTTGGTCGGCCTTCACATTCCATCTTTGAGAACGAATAGTTTCATCTCTGATTGAATAACGGCACGTTGCAAGGACATAGTTTCGAAGCACCCTCTTTAAAAATTCTTTTCTCATTCTCATGCATCTTTACAATGTGATAAAATAAATACTTCATATATGCGTGGGACTAAAATACCAATTTTCAAGCATTCTCTCACGTAAATCAGTGGGAAAAATGCTTTCCCACTTACATTCCTTCCCAGAAAAGACCAAAGCTCATTTTCTTTTAACGACTATATAAACCAGCACCATATTCATTACAATATTCATTTTTCATCTTATCCAAAAGTAAGTACTATACTTCTTCTTCTAAACTCCTCATCAAACACTGCCATGCATTATACTTCAGTCTGAACCGGCTTCTTCAGTCATCAAACAAATATTCTAATCAAACATTGGCACAATCTCTAGACTACTCTAAATCCATACCAAGCCATCCATCATCACTGATTCATTGAATCTCTATGCCAGATAAAAGAAAAACTTCAACCTGACTATTGAAACGAAAACCTGTCCACCAAAATCAATATCAACAATTTCAAGGTAAGAAAGGATTTCCTAACAGACGACAGTCAGACATCTACTAGGTTCGATAAGAACTTAGAATACAGAGTACAACAGCTAATTTCAGCCCTTCATGAGTGTCATATATTTTCAAATATTTCAGATAAATTTATTCATCATTTATCTTATACTGCTATAGGAATGAACATCAACAGTAATAACTAGTAACGCTCGTCGAGGCAGACTCGCTATGCCCTCGACTGAACCACTGATTGAAAATAAAATAGTCTTATGTGCGTTTTACGCAAAAAAAGACAGAAATATAACCTTTGAAAGGGTCCCCAGAGACTGATCTTCATTCGCCTCACAGTCTTCAAAAGAGTCAAAGGACTACTTGTGCTGCTTTTAATTATTCTATATTCCTGACTGACAATCACTCTTCACAGGAAGCAGAGGTTCGCTATAAATGACAATTATGGATTTGCACTTTTAAACACGTCCTCCTTTTTCTAAAAGAAAGATAATTTCGGTGAAACCAAATGAGACTCTATATATTTCGCATTCGAACGTGTCGGATTGTTGATACTTTGGTAATTGGCTAGATTACCAGGCGCAGCTCGTTGTTCGTCGGCGCCCCACAGGGGCGCCACTCACAACTCGCCGCTCCAAAGCTGTCCCTATCTATCATAGAATTACCCGTGTGCTACTAAAAAGTATCGAAAATTAATTAGCATTCCATCAGCATCTCATAGATAAAATTATCCGCGTCCGAACATTTAAGGCTATCTCCTTAATTAAAAGGCTTTCCGAACATTTAAGGCTATCTTCTTAATTAAAAGGCTTAAAGGCCTACAAAAACTTTCAATATATCGAACCTCAGCATTTAAGATTGTTCTCCAGTACGTAACTTGTGAATGAATGTATTTCTGGATTACTGGCCTTTAGTATGCGACAGTCAACCGAGTGTGTTTCTACTTTTTCGTAATCAACTCTTCTATGTAGCCCTCCTCTCTAGCGCGGTTGAAATGTTTTCTTCATTTCTGTCACGTCCCTGCCCCTTCATCCGTCATCCAGCCAACCTCGAGCCTCAGGATCCCTCCCAAACGATGTTTGATGAAGTTGTGAGCATTTTTCGAAAAAAATGTTTTTTTGACCTTTGACCCTGACATAGACAGAGAGACAGACAAACAAACAAACAAATAAACTTTTTTTTTATATGACCGTCCTTTCAGTCGAGGGAATTATTGTCAACATTGGAACATATTTGTAATGGAAACAATGATGATAGTGCGGAAGCCTTATGTTTTCATAATATTTTATTAAGTCAAACAACTGCATTTATTCTCCGTGCTCTTCAGCCAATATTAGACTCTTTAGCTGTTTTGTCAAAATCTACTCAAACAAAAGGAGCTGGTTTTAAACAATTACAAAACTTTATATCCTCAACTTTACTTCGACTTAAAGAACTTAAGGATAATAGCTCAACTAATTATGTGAGTATTATTGAAACAAGTGAAAAGCCATCATCAACATCTTCAACAACTCGTAACTCCAGATTATCAATAATTAATACGGATTTAAATATTAGTGATATTTTTAAATTAAAAATTCTTCCATTTATTGATAATGTTAAAGCTCGTTTTAATCAAGAAACATTCGATTTACTTCATTGCTTTATGATTTTTTATATGCAATGTTTGAATGATAATACAGATTATGGCGATAAAGAAATTCATTCTATTAAAAAGCATCATTTAAATGATTTTGGTGAATCGATTATTTATGAATGAAAGACATTTCGAACATATTTATTAACACAAAAAAAGCAGGTAAATTTATGACTCAAAGAGAAGTTTGTGTCAAGTTTGTTCAAGAAAGTATGTTGTGAGATATTTATCCACAGTTATCACTAGCTGCAGAAATGTTTTTGATAGCACAGATCAGTACAGCTACTGTTACAAGAGATTTTTCTACAATGAATCGGGTTCTAACAAAATTGTGAAATCAATTAATGAGAATTTCAGTTGAAGGTGAAGAAACTTTAAGTGAAGGTGTGAAAAAGAAAATTGTCAATCATTGGAAAAACGTCAAACCACGTCGTTTAGCAGTTTGAATTATAGAATACAAGTTCATGTTCTTGTGATACTCATTATTTTTGTTGGTACTTGTTCATACAAAGTTTTTGTCATGTATGTGTTTTCTTATTTTTTTTCTTTTCGTATATTTTTGCTCGCTTTTTGAATAAATGAAATGAAAAAACTAGTCCTTACACAACTTGTGAGCTTAACATCTTACCAAAGCATGAATATTATAAAGTGAATAAAGCTTAAATGATTTGCCGTTTGAAAATTTTTCTTATCCCCCAGAGAATTGAGTTTGTCCTCCCCCAACCGTCCTCCGGAAAAAAACCTGGATAAAACACTGTATAAATCGATGTTTTGCTACGAGTCTAGTGTTATTGCGAGCATATAAAACGTATCATAATTTGAAATTAACATAAAATAACCATTCATATATGTTCATTTTTTCGCCTCTTTCTTTATGTTCATGTTAATTATTATATAATTGTCTGTTTTGTTTTCTTGTATCAGATATTGCCTATCGCGTTTTCTTGTTTTCGTTTTTTATGTAATCATTCATAATCTTCTTAGCTGTATTAGTAATTCTTCAAAATATCTAACCCTCTATTTAGCCTTCGGTATAAATATGTATTGCTGTTTTCGTGAAAATATCTAACCTAGGCTGAAAATAAACTTATATGTGCAATGATCAAGGGGGGAAAAGCGAGACTTCATTTACTTCACACTATATGTGAAGTAAAACGAAGTATGACTGAAGTACCATTGAAGTATCGGTGAAGTACCGATGAAATACTAATGAAGTACTAGTGAAGTAGTAATGAAGTAAAGTAAATTTTAATAAAATACTAGTCGTGGATTGGAGTATGAGACTGAATTCTTTATTTAATGATAAATTTTGTTCGTTCAAACGATACTGTTCTGTTCTTTCTACATCGTATGTGTGTCAATAATTATAAGATAATCTCTCTAGCCGTAATTACACAACAGCTTTCATTGGTTTTTGATAAAATCAATCAGTCAGCTTATTATTCGAATCACGAGAAACGTTCTATATGTAAAACCAGAAGCAGAAAAATCCATATCAATAGTTATTTCACAATATACTTTGAATATTTCACTTTATAAATGTACAGACCATGTTCATCGTATTACATTTCAAGAAAAATCAACGTATTAAAATTCAAATCGACTGCTGATACGAAATGCTGCGTCAACTCTCATACGATAGCTGAACTATTTGTTTGACTGATTGTTTTCATTAGAAATATCGTCACATCGGGCTGGAAAAGGTGCTTATTGGATATCTTATTACACTTTCTTTTAAAACGTCATATTACTATTGAAGCTTGAAGAAAAAAATTGGTAGATGAGACTACTTTCTCGGTACATGTAACCACACTCGATAAGTAGAATCATTTTCACCAGTACAAGGAAGAATTACAAGATCTTTAGTTTTTCTGAAAGTTAATACTTTGTCCACTTGTATGTTATAACTAATTATTATAATTTCTTTGGTGACAGATAACTGAATCTAATCATCAACAGGCCACAATTAATTTCTTGCACTTATATCTGCCCATCGTACATAATTGAGCGACATCTACACAAGTCCATATTTTTCTTTCTCGCATATAACTGCGTAGAACGTTGCCCAATGAATTCAATATCCGCGATCAACGGTCTTTTGACGTATAACTGTCAAAACCAACGGCTAATTAAAACTGAGAATACAATACCAAAGCACGCAATCATACAATTCTAACTAGTGAACAATCTTACATTACTTCATTATTGTTGTCATTTCTTATATTTAATTCGATTTATGGAAAGTAACGATCCTGAATATTTACTTTCACTGTCAGGTGAACCATTTTTTGTACATATTGAACAAAAATATCGCAAATCAGTTGAAAAGATTTTAAGATATTATGACATTGATGACTATACAATCCTGGGCAAAGCTGGCAAACGTGAACTGATCGATTTGTTCGAAAAACCTAACGATGAAAATTCCACTAGTGATTTAATTGATTTGAAGAAAGAAATTTGTGTTGTAACTAAAGATTCAATGTTGTTGAAAATCGGTACGAAAAACAAAGTTGTTTCATTATTGAAAGCTACTCAAAAGATTATCAAAAAGAACAATTTTCAACAAACACAATCACGTCGAGTCGGTGGATATCGATCAACGTCAACCAGCAACAATCTTAGTGACAATAGTGATGGATCTCTTGAAGAAAATTACTCTGCAACGGTTCAAGATTCTATTCAGAGTTTATTAACAAGTCTACGCTATACTATTCACGGTATTAATTATACGAACGTATCAGCGAAGGATTTTAAGATCGTTATCGAAAAACAGTCCGGTGACGTTTTACCAGCTTGTTCTGTTCGATGCATTTGTGGAGACAAAATTAAATTATATCTGAGAAATACTCGATTCCAGGTGTCTTATTTGATGAAACATTTGAAGAACACTAACAATAAACCAGCAACCTTGATGAATGATAATAGCGAGAATTTATATGATTCAGAAGTTGAAAGTGAAATCGATTTTGATGGGCAACCATTGATAAGTGAAAGATCTCAATCAAGTACTCAAAAGAAAAATGCACGGATTGTTCATATTGATGTAGACGAAAGTGATGCGTCAGCAACAACTGTACTGAAGAATAGGTGAGCTTACAAGCCTTATATAGTTCATGAAAATTTTTCATTTGCCACTGATTAGTAACAGTCGAGTTCAAAAGCCTCGTTTGGAATCAATCAATAGTGTGAATACTCCTTCATCAAATAAAACAGGGAAAAATCAGTGAGTCTTCATTGTGTATCATATCTCAACATTACCATTTTTACTTAAAAAATAGACTTGATGGACAAGCCAAAATTCGTCGTCAAGCAAAACCAAGTGGATCACAAAGTACAATTTCATTTACTCCTGCAACAACATTAAAAAACGTATGTACCGCATTTGTTCTATTTGTAAATACCATTCGTATTTTAATATCGTTGAGGTCAGCCATGAATTTTAATTTCGCTCCAAGTATTGGAGGGAGAAGATTAGACCTATTTTCGTGAAGATTTCGTGAGAGAATCTTATCGTTTGTCCGGAAATAAAATTTATGAAACGGTCAAATTTCTGGACAGGAGACTTGCTATTTTTTGTCACCTATCTGATAAAGTTCGCCTTCACATGTTATACTTCAGTCTTGGCAAAAATCAATGTGTCCATCAAATCTACAAAGCATTAGGAGCGGTACTTACTGATTTTGTTGTAGTTCTCCGCTTCGAGAGAAAAATGACACTTACTTCTAAAATAACTATTTTCTTTTAGCAGTTGATGAATAATAAAAAACACAAACAACCAATTCAGCATCTACCAACAAGCCTTCTCAATCGTTGAAAGAGCAAGTACGTCATAGGAAATAATTAGAATATTTGCATAATTAACTGCATATTATCTAGATTTTGAATTCGAACAGCTCCTCTCAATCTAACAAGCGAAAAGTCGATGAAAGTGATCGAAAAGCCAGCTCTTTTTCGTTAAAAAAGCGCAACACCAAAATATTTGGAGAAAACGTGAGTAGAATAAAATCCTGACGACACTTAATCTGTTTGGCATCTCCGATAATTCAGATTGCATATTCTAAAGCAGGCAGTTCAGATATTCTATCTACTTTACTAAATACTATTGATAGTAATCGACATCATTCGCCTAACAATTATCGTTATCCAACTGCCGTATTGCGATTGGCAACGTGTTTCTTTATACTAGCAGGCGTATATGTGTATAACTTTATTCGTATTAACTTGAGATATCTTTTACCTTCGGTCGAAACGGTTAAAAAGTTCTATACGTATAATCCTTACTCAGAAGCGAACTTTCGATTTACTGAATGCAAAAGTTATCTTGATTCGATTGACACTTCCTTCGCTTTCGTATCGGAAGATTGCTCTGCAATTATTCCGCGCATTGAATACGATTCGGTATTCGATCATTTCAATGGGTTTATAACGCCAGTTGTCGATGGGAAACCGATCGAAAGCGCTTTTAGTTGCCAGTCTTTCGAAGAGTTCCAGTTTTTGATCGAAAATAACCAGCGTGCCAATCTCGTCAATGTACATTGTTTGCAGCCTATTCATAATCGAGATCTTTCCATAACGCCACCACCAATAGTTCTGGCTGCATATGGCACTGATAATAAATTGACTTCGATGGATATTCTCAAACGATGGATTATGATGTATCAGGAATTTCATTCGCGGAATATTCGTGTTCTCGGATTCTCTACCGACGGTGATCCGAAGTATCTCAGAGCGATGCGTTTGGCATCCAATTTTTTTGTTACAACCGAAACTTTGAGTATTTATGACAACACATTGGCTTTCAAAATCGACATCCCTAAAGATTGGTCCTCATGGTACTTCTTGAACCCAGTTCAAATGTTTATGTATATGCAGGACGGTGTTCATCTGTGTACGAAAATTCGGAATCGGTTATTATCGAAAACGGCTAAGCTAAAAATGGGATCATATGATGTATCAATAAACGATCTGTACAAATTGATTGAAACAAGAAACAAACTTGATCACAACTTGTCTAGATCCGATCTTAATTGTCGTGATAAACAAAATTTTGCTTCTTGTCAGCGAATATCAGATGATAGAGTTTTGAATCTATTATCGTCTAACGATCAGTCTAACGGAACATTCAATTATTTATTATTGCTAAATTTATTAATTACCGCTTATACGCGAAGCGATGTCTCTTTGTCCGAACGGATTTTTTACGCATGGGTCGTGCTATTTTATACTCGGCTGTGGCGAATATGGTTGTACATTACGAAAAGAAGTCGCAAGTCAGCGAAAGTCAAGAAAAAAAACGATGAAATGAATTATTTTATTACACAAAACGCTCTATTATCGATCGAGTTAAATGCTCATTATCTTATATATTTATATTTATCCATTGAACAAAAGCTAATACCTGAATCAACAGCAGATTCTGTTCATTTATTTTCATCCCAATCGTGTGAAAATGTTTTCCGAGATGCAAGAGCGCTGTCTGGAATCTATTCAACACGAATTAATTTTACAATGAAACAATTTCTCAAACGAATAAATAAACTCAATAGTTTAACTGAATTAAAACAATATGAACTTACCAATAACGAAGAAAAGATAAATTTTCCTGTACACCATAAAAACAAACGATTCCATAATGACACACGAAGAAATGTTGCCGATTCGAACGTCGATTTCGTATCTGCTAATGTTCAAGCAATTGTTCATCGTGCCTATGAATCTGCACAACAAATGACAATCTTTGTAGGAATGAGCAAAGATTTAATCAAACACAACGTTTTCAACATTGAACAATCATCAGAATTGGCAAAGAAATTATTAAAATTGAAGAATGGCTATCATTTGCCCTGAATCACTGTCCCTACAAGTGTCCCTAAAATTTGTCCCTACATATGTAGGGACAAATTTTAAAAATGCTCGTAGGGACAAATTTTAAAAATGCTCTTAGGGNAACATAATCGATAATCAGTGCAGCAGGACCACCAGTAGCAAGAGAAGATCCCGACCCAACAAAGAGTCCAGTGCCAATTGAACCGCCTATCGCAATCATTTGTAAATGTCGATTTGTTAATGTTTGATGTAGGCCAGTTTCTCCTTTTCTCACGTCATCATCATTACTCTCTATTTGTTTCAATTCATTCATTTCGATTGAAACAGATGTAGTGGGTAGTGTCGGTTTAAATGAATCAATCATTCGTTGACATAGACTTGTTTTCTGATTTGGAGATGGAATAGAAACAATTCTATCTGGCATGGCAAGTGAATTGCTCTGGTAACTGTCATCCACTGGTACTTGAGGCAGCATGATTGATCTTATTCACTATTACCAAATCTGTTAAGAAAGAATAACAATACTTATCCGATTGGTACGTAAGTTCTGCACGTTTTCGATCAGCGATGGGCAAGTCAAGTCATTTTGGACTTGACTTGGAGGGTTTTTGAAATAGGTATGACTTGACTTGACTTGCGGCGAAAAATCACTGACTTGCTCATCTCTGTTTTCGATATTGCTCCAGAAATCCTTTTGAATTTTTTTCTCGTGTTGAAGTATGAATCGAGAGAGATGCCTCTTAAAGAAGAACAATATTTAATCACTTTCAATTTGATAAAACTAGATCTTTTCTTGGCGGACGCACACATGGGTATGACTATTTCTCTCCTGTTGGAACCATACGTGTAATTCGTTGTCCTTTCATTTTCTTATGCTTCTCTGCGGAATACCTGTTTTTGTCCTGTCGAAGTCAAAAAACACACCGATATTGACCTTAACGTTATGTTGCTGATTGATGGAGTGTTTTTGAAAAATAAAGTCGCCTATTGCATGGGTGGAAAGAAAACGTGCAGAACTTATGTGCCAATCCAATATGATCGAAAATTTCGAGCGATACAATATTAGTAGAAGTCATCAAGACTATACTTATGTTTCGACGATTGTTTCCAAAAAATATATGTGAACTTAACTAATAAAAGTAGTGAAGCGACTGTTTGTCAGCCGCGTGACATCAATGTACTATAAGTTTTAATAAGGTAGTGACATTCTCTGTTTTGCTTCTTCTGATCAATGGAACGAAACTACCTTTTGCATTGTTGGGTACGACAAAAGTGTCAATGCTGGCTATTCTATTACCGCTTCTCTCGCCATGAAAACAAGCTTACCCTTCGGTTAAAATCGATAAAAAACTAATTTTAGGCAATAGCTATTTTCTTTCTGCACGAAAACACTCTGAAGCGTATCAATACCATCATAATAATTTTTTCAATGAATATATATTTGTTATTTTGCATCGAGATATTTTTATCAATTGTATCTGTAACCTTTAGACTATCATCAAGTAGCTGTCTGGTTCGATTCATGATACATGTACAGAATTACAACTGAATACACATCAACGCCTATACATATAGGAATCGATAAAAATATATGTAAGCTCAGCCATACGAGTACACATGCACCCCTGTAATTGTAACTATAGGCGTCAATATGTTTTGCTTCACTCACACAGATATACATGCACCCCTGTAAATTCACGGATAGATAGAAACAGGTAAACTTTGTACTTTGATCGTGACTATATAAGCGTGTTTATGTTTGATGATAAAGAATCATAACAAAATAAGGTACGTTCTATTAACAGCCGAGATAAATGAAGCATAGACGTTATGCTCAAATATATCATAACATCCTCTCCCACTAGAAAAAAGGTTTTCCACAAAAATACTTTTTAATGAAACACAAATTAACAATAGTAACACAGAAGACATGCCTAAAACGTAGAAAACGATTGCTAAAGACATCTCTCATTAAATCATCTTGAGCAAGTTATTCGATTTCTTGAGATGCAATATGTTCATATTGTACAACTTTATGGTCACTGTATTTCTCCAAAGGTTCCCTTACTACTACTCTATCATTGAATAGATCTTCAAGTTATCCAGAATATGTTTCAAACAGTATGTGGATCAATAGACCAGCCATTTATACTTAACCGAATCATTTTCGTATGTCTAATACTTCGTCGTCGGTCTAACAGAATAAGATATGGTTAAAGTTTCATACAGGACATAACGTATTAATGAAATACTTTCGACCCTGTATACGATGCATCGAATAGCATTTTGTAGTGGCCGCTTTTCATCCATTGCTAGATGTGAAATTTGTTCTATGAGTTTGTTCCTAGACTCCAATTTATCAATTACTTTGGTTTGAGTATGGTAAACGATTGTGTTCTAGTAAAATCACGGGATCAGGCGTCGTATGACCTTCAATTAATACAGTTTTATTTGTTGAGCGATTTGAGTTTGTGCCAATGCTGGTGCATGGTATATGAAAGATCGGAAATTGTAGACTGACAGCGTAGTTTTGAGCTTCGTTCGCTGCATTTCTAATCTAACTCGTGGTCGATTCGTTTTTCAAACGGGTTGGCAGTAGCTTCGAATTCTCAAGACATGCATTGGTAAGTTGTGAGATCAACAACTAAATAGTTAGTCGTTGTTAGATCATTGATCTACGTAAAATCAACGAACCTAGAGACAATATTGACAATAATCAGATATGTTAATTTGTAGACAACAAATAAAACAACATTTGTTGAGTTTAGAGTAAACTTGAGCAATGGTTATCATTTATCTTCGTTGGACAGTACATTCCTTTATTACGTAATGCAGACCATGTTATCGTCCTTAAATGAGCCCTACTCTGAACAGTCGTACTCGGCACAGTAACATGCTGCCGTAAAGGAACATTGTATTCCTCAAATTTTCCAATTCGTTCGTACAAAAGCACTCTCAAGCAAAAGTTCGCATCTATCAACATCATTTGTCATTCACCTCAATTCTTTAAAATACCATTATTAACACTGAAGTTGATGTTTTATGGCGCATGTGTGGATATATCAATTATTCAACTACGTTAGTCGTTGTACATGCCTAGAACAAAATTCCCTTCCAACAATATCAACACACATCCGATGACAGAAACGCTCGAGTATATTTATTCACTTTTCAATGAGTTTCTTTTCCGCTTTGTATTTTGCTTTGTGAGTATGGTATATTTTAGAAATAGCTTTTTCAATTCTCTTTCGTCAAAGTCGTTCTTCTATTTGAAAAGAAAAGACTTCAGAAGTAACGATCACTATACTGTGAATTTCAAGACTTTCAATAAAATTGATTTCTTATTTTGTATCAGCGAAGTTTATAGACTACTTTTGTACATGTCTCAGCAAAGAACATGAAGACTATAATATTATATAACACATACTTTCTTTACGCCATGCATCGACATCAATTATTTCTTTTTTATTAAAAAATATTATTACACCGTCATTTGTTGATGAAAACAATTTTTTACACACAACCTATTCGAGAAGTTAATCAATTTTACAGCTTTTATATTTATCTTATAGTATCTGAATAATGAAAGGCAAATATACGACTTAAAACACTTCTGCCGATAACTGCGTAATCTATAATGTATGTTCGCACCCTGCAATCATCGTAATAATAATGAAAGTTTTATTCTTCTATATAAAATAATCGAACGCGTTATCTGCGACAGATATTTCATGCTCATCGAGCAGCTAGAGAAAGATCAAGCATATAACTACTTCAGCAAAAGGTTTCATCAGCATAAAAATATTGTCGATTGTTATTGTTGCTCTCGTTGTCTTAGCGGGAATGGTTCCATTGATGATGGCTTGTAAATATTGTCAAATGATTATCAGTTTCTATTCATTCTGTTGACACTCGACTACTTTATTTGCAGGCGAGAATGTGGGACAAGGCTGTTCTATCTTCAGAAAATGTTATGACTCTTTACGATATACAATAGAAGGAGGCAAATTGAATATGTACTCGGCTTTTTCTCCAATATTTTATGTTCATTTCAAATAAAAACGACTAACTATTCACAAGCAAATAAAGAAAATAGTGTATATCTGCTCAACGCAAACGGTGACAAAGCTGAATTAGTCGAAAAACACATTTGTGATCAGCGTCTCAAACTTCATCAAACTATGTAAGAAAAGTTTCCTTGTGTTTCCTCAATCGGCACGTTGTTATGTTTCGTAAACTTTGTGCGCAATATCATACGAAGTTCTTTTCTTACACGGTGTTATGTAAGGTATTCTCCTTGATGAAATTCTTTCTTTCAATTTTCTAGAAAGTATTTTAAAAAGACCTTGGTATCATTTCAATTAGCTGCCTTCATCCTCTTTTTGTTAGTAAAAATAAAACCTTTTTTCTCTGTAAAATGAACTTTCATTCATTCTTGTTGTTGCTATAACAAATATGAACAATAGTTTTCTTTGTTTTGCAATCCTTGGAGTACCTTTCTGAGAACGTTTCATCTATTCTTTTAACTTCAAAATTCTTTCAAATTAAAAAGGAATATTTTCAGATCGGCTTTTCCACTCTGAAAATAATGCCAATCAACGGGAATTTCCGTCGTACGTTCTCGTTTCTCAGAAAGACTTTCTTTGAATTGAATTTGTTCAATAATGGTTCACAAGATGAATTTGTTATACGAAATCAACGTCGATCCACTCGTTTGTATCTATTTCTTTTGATAACATCGTTACTCTTTATAGGAACCTATTATTCTATAATAACAAAATCCGAAACGGTGATTATGAAATCTCCTTCGTTCGAACAATACTCTTCAATATCGACAGAAACATCTTTACAATGTTTTTGTAGAAAAATTGCAATAAAATATAAAGAATTTATTCAAATAGTCCCATACTACCACGAGTTGTGTACGAGTGATTTGATTTCTGATGACTTCATCACTGAATTATATAATACCTATGTAGAAACATGGATTAATTCTACTCAAAGTGATTTTTATAACATTGCCGCATTTCAATTCAACACACTTCGCAGGTTATGTGAACTAACTCGTGAAACGATTGAAAACAATCTTGAAATCTTCTTACAAACTGAATTCATTCATTCGCAATTAATTGCTCAAGAATCATTACAAATTCAAATCTCATCATTATTATCTGATTTCATTCAATCAATATCAAAAGCTTTTCTAAGAACATTAACTTTCATTCAAAATATCACCGCACAAAATCTATTTATGACAGGTGGATCAGTTACAAGTGTTTCACCAACGTTGAAAACGGATGACTACGAAGAAAATCCCATCGGTTATCAAGGAATAACTTATCATTTTCTGGATAATTCCTCATGTACTTGTTCAAGTTCGACAAGCACGATTTGTATGGGTTTAACAACAATTGAAAATGAAACTCTATCGGGTTTTCAAACAGGTTGTTACATGTTCAGTGCACTTCTCAAATCAACACTTGAAGTATTCTATGATCAAACATTTATCGATGAGCTGACAAATTCATCGATAAATTTTCAAAAATTAAATTCCTCTGTATCAAATCAGACAATCGAACAATTACTTGGGGAAATGCTAACTAGGCAATGGAAAAAAGAAACTTTTTTCGATAGATATTATTCACAATGTTCGCCAGATACGTGTCAATATACAATTACAAAGAGAAACGATTTTTTATTTATTCTAACTTCATTGATTGGATTATTCGGCGGATTATCTTCAGCATATCTTATCATTGCTCCGTTAGTTGTTAATAAGTTTTGGGCAATTATGTTAACACTTCAGAAACGGAAAAAACCGGCTACAACGCCTTGGATTCACACTGCCAATAATCCAAGTAAATTCCTTTTTTGAAATACGATTTGCAGGAGTGTTGAAAGTGTTCGGAAGCAAGAATTTTCATCAGCAGCTCGTCTCCGACTGAGAAGGATAAGTTGACGATGATATTTGTTAGAATTTCGCCATTTCGATCGCGTGTTCCACATTTTAAATTGTGTCGAACGCTTTTTTCTTCTAAATAAGTTATTTTTCTTTTCTAGCTTCTATTCCTGGTCGTCTAAGAAACATTATTCGAACAATAAAGCAATTAATGGTCAAATTAAATTTATTTAATAGTATTCCACCATCTGAAGATCAAGATATTGTTCGCCAACAACGTATTATTACATGGATTTACTTAATATTATTAACATCAAGTATGATCATTATCATCACATACAGTTCCATTCAACCACATACGGTGCATTTTACAAAGAATTCGCCTTCATCTAAAGATTTTATTGAGCTTTATGCCAAATACCCATTAACTCTCAGTTGTTCATGTAGCAATTCAGCTATTGACCTTTATTTTCTAGCGAAATTGGTACCTGAATATCATGAGATATGTTCGAGTCAATTTGTTTCATCTGATTGGATAAATCTTCAATTCATTCGATCGGAAAGCGAAATGCTTTCTACATCCGATATTCGCTCTCATTTTGAATATTTTTTTCAAATAATATCCACATTATGTCAAATGTCCATGCAAACAATCGAAGATTCTCTTCAATCGCTTTATCGAACGAAGTTTATCACAACTCAAGCATTAGATGTTCAATCCTTTGAAATGCAAATCAATTTGATCATCGAACAATTTCAACGAACAACACCCGAATCATTTCAACGTATTTTAAATTTACTGAAAACAACCTTTGACATCAATCAATTCATCGTCCCAACGAATAGTTTATTTCAAATTGATATTGTAAGTTTTGCCAGAATTTTCTTAATACCAAATGGGTTTCTTTGGAAGAGACCTGTGAACAATTCATTGCCGTCAAATGTAACTTATACAAAAGAAAAATGTTTTTCAACATCGTCAATTGAGTGTTATCAAAACATATTTCTCTATGAAAATGAGACACAATTCACTATACCTGGAATGTATCAATCATGGTTTCCTCTTCATTCAATTTTAATGTCTACATTGGAATGTTTGTATGATGAAATATGCTTTGGGAAAATCAAACGAATAACCAATTCAACCAGTATAATATTAAAGAATATTTCAATACTAAAATCTTCCAATAATCAATATGATCAAATCGATTCGTTAGCAAATAAACTTTTTATTCAATCATGGATAAATGAAAGTTATTTCGGATCGTATTATAATCAATGTAATCCGTTGATGTGTCAATATACGATTGAAACACGATTAAGTCTAATTTATATAATAACAACAATCATTGGACTTGTCGGAGGAATTAATCTTGTTTTACGTATTTCAATTCCATTTCTATTTCGAATAGTCAAACAAATTCGTAATTCATTTATTCATAGAAAAGAAACGTTTTCTACAAGAAGAAGTGAGCGCCAATTTGTTAAAAGACTTTTTATTTAAAATAATTCTTTTCATTAAGAATTCTTTCATCATTTCTCCTCGATAACTAAACAAAATTTTCTTGAATTAAACCTTTTCTCTACAATTCCACCATCAAAAGATCCAAAGATTCTTCGACGAAATCGTCATTTAACTCGAATTTATATCATTTTATTATTTTCCTCATTTGTCATCCTAATTCTTTATGGTTTGCTACGACAAGAGACCATTCTAGTCATTGTCGAATCTCCTTCGGTATCCAAATACCAGCAATTAGCTGATGAATATCCTCTCACTTTGAAATGTCCTTGTAGTCGCACATCAATCAAATACAACAAATTAATTTCTCAACTCGAACCACAATTTCACGATGTTTGTTCGAGTATTTTTGTTTCATCGGAATGGCTTAAGAAAATAGATTCAAGAAAGCGAGCACTTGCATCCACTTTTTTCCACTTCTTGATTGACTATCGTTATTTTCTTTTTATACAGTTTCAATCATTGACAAAATTATGTACATTATCTCGCTCGACAGTAAATACATCATTGACATTATTTCAACAAAATGATTTTGTCACATCCAATGTCATTTCGTCTGATGAATTTCTTATTCGCACAAAAGCGATTTTAGAACAATTCAAAAAGACAATTGCGATTCAATTTATCGAAACAATCAATTTGATTCAATTGACATACCACGGAAATCAACTTGCAAATATCTTTTCATCCAACTGGCAGTTCTACGTAAAATATACACTTTCAGATTTACGTCCCATGCTTAATCATACGGTGGATGTATTAGCTGAACCAAAAGTATATAGCGACACTGGTTGTTCATGCCAAATTTACTCAAATTGTTCAGTTGTATCTTATATTATTCTACTTATATACTCTTTCTCAGATAATCCACGTATGCCAGGTTTTCGTATAGGCTGTTTCTTTTTTGACGCACTGCTTCAATCCAGTTTAGCCTGTCTCTACGATAAACTTTGTCTGGGTCAAATGCAATCCTATATTGATTATTCAAAACCGATCAAAACCAATGTGCTTTCTTATTCGTCATTAACACCACCTAACACGACAATTGAAACATTACTTAATCAACTTTTTGTTTCCCAATGGATTTACAATGCTTCATTCGATCTATATTTTCAAGAATGTGCTCCACAATCATGTGTATACTCATACACATTACAACATAATATAGTTTATATAGTCACGCTATTAATTGCTGTTTTTGGCGGCTTAACAAATGGATTACATTTTCTTTTATTCTATGCAAATGTGATCTTAGTCAAATTAACTGATGGTAGAAAACAAAACAGTGTTGTACCGGATCTACAGCAAATAGGAGAGACTGTAAATAATGAAAATATGAATACAATTACAACAACATCCGTGAGTGAAGTAATTGTTCAGTCGTTATCTCAATGAGGAAACTTATCTGATACATGTTTTAGGTGAATGATACTTCTGGTATACGCGAACATACTTCGTCAGTATATAATTTGAACTAACTTTAGACTGGATTTTCTATTTGTTACATATTTTAGCCGAAAAAAGTACTTCAAGCGAATAATTCCGATTGGCTCGATACTTCTAATACTTGGAACAGTGATATTAATATTTATATTTGTCATTAGAAACGGTAATAAGGAGGAAAAGTCGGTTTCTACAAGTACACAATCAATTGTTATAAATAACAATGCATCTGTGACAGAAACACCAGGTACACATTGAACTAGGATTCTAAATAGTAATTGTTGATTGTTAGATACTTATTGTCATATGACTTTGAATAATCAAGCGAAATTTTATTCAACTGGTCTGAACCCATCATCAATGGCTGTTGGAGATTTTAATCAGGATTCATTTAGTGATTTAGCTGTAACTAATTTGGGTTCAGATACTTTGAGCATTCTGTTAGGAAACCAAAATGGAACATTTCAAAGACAAATTGTTTTCTCAACTGGAAATGAGTCTCGTCCGAAAGAAATCAAAGCGGCTGATTTTAATAATGATACAATTCTAGATTTAGGTAACTTGTTCCGACAATTACTTTGGAAAGGAAAAGTCATTCATCTTTCTTTTCAGTTGTCATATTATCTGCAACAAGTGAAATCGTTCTTTTCCTCGGCGTGTCAACGAATGATTTATTTGTTTTACCACCTTATGTCTTACCAATTGATATGAATGATACAATCGCAACTTCAATTGAAGTTAGCGACTTAAATAATGATGGATCTTTTGATTTATGTATTACTTATCACGCCGATAATTCGACCGATAAAAATTCTTTAAGTATTTATCTCAACGACGGCGATGGATATCAATATTATAATATATGCTCAGATACTGACTGGTACATAGATAATGTCAATTTAATGTTAATAGCTGATCTACATCATTCTGATGATATTCAGTTATACGTAAGTGGAGGTGAGAATTTCATATTTGCTTTTCATATAATGAACTACAACGATGAATGGACTTGCTCATATGCTAAGTCATATATTGCGTATGGAAATGCAACGGCCGCCATTGCTGGAAGATTTAATAATGACACAGTTGATGATTTGGTGATTCTTTCTCCGCAATCAAATATATTAGATGCTTACACAACAGTTTTTCCTTGGCTGTATGTTAACCAAATTTATGTAACAGAAGATAAGCCAACATCCGTTGCTCGAATTAATTTCAATAATGATACAATTGATGATGTCGCAGTTTTACATTGTAACGGAACGTTGAGTATATTTGTTGCCGAAAGTACTATTAGTCTTTTTGACCAAAATTATTTAACGTTCGTTTTCAATATAACGGAGAATAATGAATGTGTTCATTCAGTCAATGTTCTCGATTTGAATCAAGACGGAAAAGATGATATAATTTTTATTGATCCAGCAGCAAATGAAATTAGAGTTGTATTAGGGTCATCTTGTAATGAACAGTTATGAATATCACTTTGAATGTTGTTTCGTCTTTGAAATAAATCTTGAGAGCAATGGTGGTGTGAGCAGTATCTAGTCGATGGGAAGGTATTGATGACTGACGGACTTTTTGAGGTAATATTTCTGAATTGGAGCGAGCTATGCAATCCAATGGGAATTCAGATATGACTTACTTTTTCGCTTTTCATCATGATTCCATGAAACAGGTTTCTGATGATGCGCAACACATTCAATCTTTTATAGAAAACAATATTTATGAATATCATGCAGAAAATTTTCTATAACAAAATAAGCACCAATGTGTGTAAAAATAATGCAAACGAGTCAATATAGAGCTTATGCATATATACATATGGGTACGTGTTTCTTTTCGAGATCAAGTACTGGTATTCCAACAATGAATAGCGAATGGAGCTGTGTACAATGCACCGATAGAAAAATCAATATTCAAGCTGCAACAAATATTAAACCATATTCTGACTTTTGAATTGTTCTTCGTTTAATACTCTATAGGCTTTCTTTCTCAACTTTAAGTTCTTTGTTATTTCACAATAAGTTTGCGAGTTGAGCAACGTTATCTTATCCATTTTACAAACACTAAAATCTATAAAATTCTATTTTTACATGGGAACTTGGCAAAGACAGAGAGAGAGAGAGAGTTTCTTAGCAACTTCACCATATTGCACAACGTAATGCAATAACATAAAAGTGCCGATAACAATGTAATAAACTATTAAGATTTGAGGTAGCATAAAAAATATCTTAACAAATGACGTATAACTGAAAAAGTAGCAGATTTTTCTCTTATATGTATTTGCTCTTCGTAAAAGCAAATTTTGTTATCTTCAAGCAAACCATTGTATATAACTACTCACCGAAACTTGTGAGCACATTAAGCAACATACACTTCAATCAACGATTATTTCTTTATATCAAGCAAATGCAATTCGCGAATTCAGTCCTTTTGATTTTGGTATGCATTGGCGTGTTATGCGTATCGAACGCAGATGGTGAAATCTGTTCCTGTTCGTGCTGTGTTGGTGCAGGATGCANTCTGGTCACCAGATCAAACATCACAATAACCTTCATGAGACCAACATCCATGCACTCTCTCTCTGATTCTGGTCACCAGTTACATTATTATGGTGCACTGTAATCACTTAATAAACTTTTAGTTAGTGTTACTATTAGAAAAAAGTATAGGTGATACTATGAAGTTTGAGACATTCGACAGCAGTATATCAGATTTTCACTGAAAAAAGTCCCTAAATTGAGAGGTCCCTAAATAAGAGTCCCTACTTGGTTACCAGAAATGGCGTAATTAATGAAACGTCCCTATGTAGGGACAAATTTTAAAAATGCTCGTAGGGACAAATTTTAAAAATGCTCGTAGGGACAAATTTTAAAAATGCTCGTAGGGACAGTGATTTAGGGCAAATGATAACCTACCAAATTGAATAGTTTAAGCGCATCAGAAATACTTGTGATCGATACCCAGAGTGACGAAGGTAGCGATGACGAAGATGAATTCGACGACGGTCATTTCGAACAACATGATCATATCGACGATGCAGATGTTGACGACGATGATCGGATGAAAGATTATGAAGAAGATGCGTTTGATTCTGCCGAAGATGCTGATGATGAAAACAGTGATGACGATGTTCGTGGCGAGGAAGAGAATGACAATCACTGCCATTCATCTGATGATGATCCAGAAACGACTACTGCTTTTGAAAACCTACAGGAAACATCGTACTCAGGTAATAATGAAGAAAATTCATTCTACGAGGCTTGCAGCTTATAATCATTAATATTTTTTGCGCATCTTCTCAATACTATACGAAATATTTAGACTTGCTTTCTATGTGCGACGTGAGGTGTTCGATATGCCGAGTTATCCAATTCACACTTATATCTTGCTATGATTCCACACAAATCGACAAATGACATTGCGAAATCAATATTAGTTATCTATTTCAATTAATAGTTCATTTTCAACTGTTTTTCTCTTGTGATTGAAGACAGAACAAAGAAACTCCTATTTTGCTGAAAGCTTGTTTTGCGTTAAACGATAAAAGGTTTTCAGTTGTGAGATGTTCAATGAAACGATTGTTGACACAGAAAGAGATGATGAGAATACCGCGTTCAGACAAAAAAAGAACTGAAAAACGTATTTTCAGTGAAACAGTTGATACTTGTTTGGTCTGACATTCTAACTCTTTTCTATACTTTTTTTTTCAGGACTTCGACTATTAGCATCAGTTCCATTAAAAGACGCACACAAATATTTCACTATTTATATGCATAATCAAAAAATGTTTCTTCACAAAGCGACTGCAGCGTGGTATTTTCAGGAGAATTAGTGGCGAAGTACAGTGAAGTACCGGTGAAGTATGACTGAAGTATGACTGAAGTACGACTGAAGTAGTTGAAGTCTGAAGTCTCGCTTTTTCCCCCTTGGCAATAATGCATTATAAATATGACATCTGAAAGCAGTATTTCTACGAGAAAAAGCTAAGCGAGTCTCGAGACGAGCGTTCTTGTTTTAGAAAATAAAAATAAAATTTTCTAAAACCTAGGTCTACATATCTTCCTTGTTCCTAGAGATAAAAACATGAAAATTCAGGACGATAATCGTCATGTAATAAGGGACTATGCATCATAATTTGAGTTTTTCAAGACTTTTGGATCACCCTTTATACGTAAAGAGGATAAAAATTTCTATCGAATGTTACATGATAAATCAAAAATAAAAGGGTGTAGAAACTTTTAATTATCTAAATCTTAAAAGGGTCAGAGTTTTAAGGAAAAAAGGCTCCAGTTTAAAAAAACTTCAGTTTCAGATTCAGCATCAAATAATTAATCTTGGTAAAGAGCGTTTCAAACGAAAAGACAAAATGATATAGATTTGCATTGATGCCACCTTATCTCAGAACACTGAATGACGACAAGTTTGCGATGAAAATTCCGTTATATCGATATACCAAGCGTCATTTACCACTTCTCCACATGACAGAAAAAGCAAGCCTCTTGGGAAAGAGAAACTGCTGCTCGTTACCTTGGAAATGATTCAAAAACTTCTCCGTTCTGCCACAATGTTTTTTGCGAGTATATTGACAAGAAAGAAATAAAGCACAACCTTTATCGCTACTGCAAAAAGAACTGAAACGTAAATTTCCTTTTTGCGCGTTCTACAACTACGCATTGTTTGCAACGAACATATTTAACAGTTGGAAGAGAAAAAAAATGATGAAATATACCGCAGTCTGTGTCGATCGGAGTTTTATTGACGTTTCACACAATGAAATAGTTATTTTGTTATAAACGAAGAAAAACTCGTACTTTACTTTCATTGCACTTATTCCATTCGTGAAAGAAGGAGGAATACTATATTTCACCATGTTTAACGATCGCGGTCAAAATTTTCCTTCTTCTGGCGATTATCGATGTTCCCGTTGCGGTAGAACTTGGAACAGCAACAGAGCTCTTGCGAACGTGTCCCAAAGATGCCCATCGTGTGGTGCAAACGTACAGCCGTGCAATTTACGGAATCTTTATGTTTACATTTGCCGTCAATGTGACCGACGATCAGAGGCGGCCTACGCACCGAACGGAATACGGTGCTCACATTGCGAGTCATCAGTATTAATTCTACCACTGAATCGAGACGATCCAGACGATCGTGCATTGATTCGTGAACATGATCGTCGACAATCGTCGACACAGAATCAGCGTACGATATCTCAGCCTTCATCTCCATTTGAGAGTTCCCGGCGAACAGACTCATCGATGCTGATTAGAAGTGGAGAACGGCAAATTGATTTAAATCACAGTCGAAGACCTGCTTCCCGTCCATCAGTAAATCAACCAGCAGAGCCCTATATAAACGATCGAATACATCATGATTTGGGGTTTATATGTTGCTTAGTAATCGTATTCGTATTCGTATGCGTAACAGTTTACTTGCTTGGATAACTTTTACTAAGAAAATGATGCACTTTCACGTTGAAAACAATTTTGTTTCACAGTAGAATTGTTTGTATTATGCAAATGTCACTTGATGAAATGATAATTAATAAGAATATTATAAGTCTGTTTTATTAGTTCATTAACCATTATATTTCTTCTCGAACGAGTGTAGATATGTTTCCTAGAAAGTTCGGATGATTCCAGATCATGTTCTTGCGACACTTATTTCATCGTCTATCCATGGACTTGTAAGCTGAGTCCGGAATCTGGAACAGAACGTATAAAATAAGAATCATTCAAGAAATGCAATCGATTTCAAAAGAAAAGGAGGGGGTTTAAGAGGAGAAATCGGCCCCCCTGAAAAGTCTCCGAAATTCCTCCAAACTTGTCAAGTTCGATCTGCTGAATTCAAAAATAGAGAAACCAAACTTCCCTAAACGTAAATATCTAAGCAAACCACTTCCTCTTTCAGTAAAAGAAAGCGGTGGTTTATAAGCCCTTCCAGCTCCTCTAGGGAACAATATTCCCTAGTGATCCAGCCTAGAAAGTATTTACATCGGTGTAACTTTTCAAGATCTACAACTTAGTCAGCAAAACCAACGCTCCCTGGAGTGGACATCAGGGTCATTTCGGTCAAAAATCGGAAAAAAATCATGATTTTTTAGGGTAATAGACGTTTTCTTAGCCAAAACCGCATGTATTTGACGGAAATATTGGCAAAAAAGTGATAAACATGCTCATGGTAGGGAGTGTCGATCGGACAGTCAAACCACCATTCAAGGATTTCATCTGGAGAGAATTGAATCGTAGGATAATAACTATTCTGTTGACTCTGTGCCGACTGAGTTGGTGCGCGGATAACGTTAGGGAATGACTGGCCCCTTTGGATGCTGTAGGCGACAACTACCGCCAAGCCGGTGTTACCAAATTTTCGGCGGCGTAAGATGGAGCACGTTTCAATCGAGAAACACTCATAAGAAGCATTTATATAGACAGGGTTGCTCGCATCACATATTTCCCACCCAAAGTGGTATCACCAAGCTCTTCTTCGGACAGCATCGGCAAATTATCGATGACGTTGGTGTGATCAATGGCTTTCCATGTTGAGGAGGGATTTCCGAATTTCGCCAATAAGACTTTCGCCAATTGACGAAACTCCATATGTTGTATTGGCGAAAATGCAAGGGAGGTTCGCCAATTGACGAAAGTCTTGAATGCCATTGGCGAAATTATAGTGGGCATTCGCCAATGAACGAGAGTCTTTTTATATTCGCTAATTTAAAAAAACGTACACTGCGTGTATATTGTTATTCCTAGCAGAAGGAGAGGAAACATTATATGTAAGATTTCAACTGCCTGTCATATCTTGTCGTGTTCATCTATATGACTTGTTAATAAAGATTATTTCTGTATACTTGATAATGAAAGTTCAATAAACTTTCGTTGATGGCGAAAGTCTCGTAATATGTTGGCGAAATTACAGTGGATTCTCGCCAACTGTCGAAAGTCTATGCGATGTATTGGCAAAAATACACTGGAATCTCGCCGACTGTCGAAAGTCAACGGAATGTATTGGTGAAATTACAAGGGAAACTCGCCGATAGCGAATGTCCTATTGGCGAAAGCCTTATTGGCGAAGAGCGGGTAAGCCCAATTGAGTAGTGCTCAGACGCACACTATACACTCTTCGCCATTATGCTGCATCGTTTCTTTAGATCATCAATGCCATATTGAGCTAATGTTGATACTATAGCCTCAACGAGTGAAGAAGTATTATAAGCAAATTTTCTTTGCTTTGAACTCAGTATAGAATACGAAATGAAATTATTTCAGATACTTGAATTTTATGACATTTGAAACTCATCACAGATTGACTTTGCTGGTACTGAATAACACGAGTTTTATAATCTCTGTAATGTTGAATCTTGAGAATTTTAAGGTATTTCATACATCAAGACATGTTGAAACGATCACACTATCTCTGCAATAGAACCTCTAGATGTCACGCTGGAAAAGTGGTTCTTATAGCATATCCAAAAGCAAATAAAACATGTCTGATTCTCCAGCATCTTGCATACAAAAAGCATTTTATTTTTACGATCGTGTAAATATCTCTACAGTTTATGGAACAAGTAAGCGCTAAAAAAAACTCAAGCGAGCAGCTGCAAATATGCTTCATACATAGATGATAGTTTGTTTTAATTGCTCGCAATTTTCATTTTAATATGAATGGCAAAATCTGTCGGAATCTATCGACTATCATCGACTTTAGTTAACAGAATCCGATAACATCCGAAGTTTCCGGAATCTGGGATCGGTGGAGCTTGGTTAAAGTACATCCAGTCAAAAAAGTCCTCCGCGAAGTAATGACTTATATAATCAGTACAAAAGTTTAGCACAATTTATAGTATAATCTTTTCCACAGAGACCATGTTTTACGTTGAGCCTTTTCTTCCTCGGCGCTCTGTTGTGTATCGAATAAACGCCGGCCGGTCTCGAGATCTACGGTGCTGGGTCGCTGAAAAGATGTTTTCTGCCATATTTTCCATACCAGATATGATGCAATTACAATGGGAGCAGCCAGATAAGCTTCGAAAAAAGCCTCAGCATTCGGCGAACCATCTACTGGAAACAGAGCTACATAAAATTGAGCTACAAGACATATGATATTGAGTAAAAGGCCAAAATAACTGCCAATCACTCCAAAAGGTGCTACGAAAGGGAGCTCTTTCAATGAATGACCTTGTGAGGTCCATGCTAATCGAAACATTATATGACATGCGCATATGGAACCCCATGTGAAAAATGATGATAAACCAGAAATTGCCACTAACCAATTAAACACCTGAGAGCCAACTTTTCCACAATTTATATAAGCGATACACCCTAGTAACATTGATATAATGATAGAAGAGAGTGGACGGCCCTTACGATCAATATAAGCAAGTATCTTAGGTGCCTGACCACACTCAGCAAGTGCACATAATGTTCGAGATGCTCCATAAACAGAAGAATTAGCTACGGAAAGAACAGCACAGAGAATAACAGCATTAAATATAGAAGGTAATACTTTAATTCCAGCATCTTCAATAGCAATTACGAAAGGTGATGCTGATGCATCATAACTTGACGATCCATTAAGAAGACGTGAAGATGTATAGGGAACCAAACAGCCGATGATTGTTAATGACACAATATAAAATAATGTGACTCGCCAAAAGACTTGTTTTGTGGCACGTGGAATGGTTTCTTTTGGATTGTCTGTTTCTGCCGCTGCTAATCCAACCAGTTCGGTCCCAGCAAAAGCAAAGGCTGCAGTAACGAAGACCGTACATATTCCTTGAAATCCATTAGCGAACGCACCTGGGTTTTTCCAATATTTTCCACCTATGTATTCATGATTTGGTCCACCTCCAAATATAAGAACAATACCAAGAATAATGAAACCAACGATAGCAATCACTTTAATAATAGAAATAAAGAATTCAATTTCACCATAACCTCGAACGCCGAATAAATTAACAATTAGAAGTGCAACCAAAAGAATACTAATCCAAACAGCTATGTTCACAGATGTGGTCCAGTAGCCGACAACTAATCCAGCTGCTGTTAATTCCAGTGGCATGACAACTAACCAATTTAGAGCATAATTCCAACCCATAGCGAATCCCCAAGCTGGATCAAGAAAACGTGTGCTAAGAGTTGAAAATGAGCCGGAAACAGGAAAGACGACGCTGAGTTCTCCTAATGCCATAGATACATTGAAGAGCATAAAACCAATAACAACATAATCGATAATCAGTGCAGCAGGACCACCAGTAGCAAGAGAAGATCCCGACCCAACAAAGAGTCCAGTGCCAATTGAACCGCCTATCGCAATCATTTGTAAATGTCGATTTGTTAATGTTTGATGTAGGCCAGTTTCTCCTTTTCTCACGTCATCATCATTACTCTCTATTTGTTTCAATTCATTCATTTCGATTGAAACAGATGTAGTGGGTAGTGCCGGTTTAAATGAATCAATCATTCGTTGACATAGGCTCGTTTTCTGATTTGGAGATGGAATAGAAATAATTCTATCTGGCATGGCAAGTGAATTGCTCTGGCAACTGTCATCCTCTGGTACTTGAGGCAGCATGATTGTTCTTATTCACTATTACCAAATCTATTAAGAAAGAATAACAATATTTATCCGATTGGCACATAAGTTCTGCACGTTTTCGATCAGAGATGGGCAAGTCAAGTCATTTTAGACTTGACTTGGAGGGTTTTTGAAATAGGTATGACTTAACTCGACTTGCGGCGAAAAATCACTGACTTGCTCATCTCTGTTTTCGATATTGCTCCAGAAATCCTTTTGAATTTTTTTCTCGTGCTGAAGTATGAATCGAGAGAGATGCCTCTTAAAGAAGAACACTATTTAATCATTTTCAATTTGATAAAAACTAGATCTTTTCTTAGCGGACGCACACATGGGTATGACTATTTCTCTCCTGTTGGAACCATACGTGTAATTCGTTGTCCTTTCATTTCCTTATGTTTCTCTGCGGAATATCTATTTTTGTCCTGTCGAGTTCAAAAAACACACCGATATTGACCTTAACGTTATGTTGCTGATTGATGGAGAGTGTTTTTGAAAAATAAAGTCGCCTACTGCATGGGTGGAAAGAAAACGTGCAGAACTGATGTGCCAATCTAATATGATCGAAAATTTCGAGCGATACAATATTAGTAGATGTCATCAAGACTATACTTATGTTTCGACGATTGTTTTCAAAAAATATATGTGAACTTAACTAATAAAAGCAGTGAAGCGACTGTTTGTCAGCCGCGTGACATCGATGTACTATAAGTTTTAATAAGGTAGTGGCATTCTCTGTTTTGCTTCTTCTGATCAATGGAACAGAACTATCTTTTGCATTGTTGGGTACGACAAAAGTGTCAATGCTGGTTATTCTATTACCGCTTCTCTCGCCATGAAAACAAGCTTACCCTTCGGTTAAAATCGATAAAAAACTAATTTTAGGCAATAATTTTTTTTTTCTCTGTACGAAAAAACACTCTGAAGCGTATCTACACCATCATAATAATTTTTTCAATGAATATACATTTGTTATTTTGCTTCGAGGTATTTTTATCAATTCTACCTGTAACCTTTAGACCATCATCAAGCAGCTGTCTGGCTCGATTCGTGATACATGTACAGAATTACAACTGAATACACATCAACACCTATACATATAGCAATCGATAGAAATATATGTAAGCTCAGCCATACGGGTACACATGCACCCCTGTAATTGTAACTATAGGCGTCAGTACATTTTGCTTCACTCACACCGATATACATGCACCCCTGTAAATTCACCGATAGATAGAAACAGGTAAACATTGTACTTCGATCGTGACTATATAAGCGTGTTTATGTTTGATGATAAAGAATCATAACAAAATAAGTTACGTTCTATTAACAGCCGAGATAAGTGAAGCATAGACGTTATGCTCATATGTATCATAACACCCTCTCGCACTAGAAAAAAGTTTTTCCACAAAAATACTTTTTAATGAAACACAAATTAACAATAGTAACAAAGAAGACATCCCTAAAACGTAGAAAACGATTGCTAAAGACATCTCTCATTAAATCATCTTGAGCAAGTAATTCGATTTCTTGAGATGCAATATGTTCATATCGTACAACTTTATGGTCACCGTATTTCTCCAAAGGTTCTCCTACTACTCTATCATTGAATAGATCTTCAAGTTATCCAGAATATGTTTCAAACAGTATGTGGATCAATAGACCAGCCATTTATACTTAACAGAATCATTTTCGTATGTCTAATATTTCGTCGCCGATCTAACAGAATAAGATATGGTTAAAGTTTCATACAAGGCATAACGTATTAATGAAATACTTTCGATCCTGTATACGATGCATCGAATAGCATTTTGTAGTGGCCGTTTTTCATCCATTGCTAGATGTGAAATTTGTTCTTTGAGTTTGTTCCTAGACCCCAATTTATCAATTACTTTCGTTTGAGTATGGTAAACGATTGTGTTCTAGTAAAATCACGGGATCAGGCGTCGTATGACCTTCAATTAATGCAGTTTTATTTGTTGAGCGATTTGAGTTCGTGTCACTGCTGGTGCATGGTATATGAAAGATCGGAGATTGTAGACTGACAGCCTAGTTTTGAGCTTCGTTCGCTGCATTTTTAATCTAACTCGTGCTCGGTTCGTTTTTCAAACGGGTTGGCAGTAGTTTCGAATTCTCAAGACATGCATTGGTAAGTTGTGAGATCAACAACCAAATAGTTAGTCGTTGTTAGATCATTGATCTACGTAAAATCAACGAACCTAGAAAGAATATTTACAATAATCAGATATGTTAATTTGTAGACAACAAATAAAACAACATTTGTTGAGTTTAGGGTAAACTTGAGCAATGGTTATCACTTATCTTAGTTGAACAATGTTGCTTTATTACGTAATGTACATCGGTTTGTCGTCCGTAAATGAGCTCTACTTCGAGTAGTCGTACCTGACATAGTAACACATTACCGTAAAGATGCATTTTAATCCGCAACTTTTCAATTGGTTTGCTCAAAAGCGTTCCCAAGGGAAAGTTCTAACCCATAAACATCCTTTGTCATTTATCTTAATTCTTTATATTACCATTATCAACTTTGAAATTGATATTTGAACGTGGGTGTATGTGTGGAAATGTCAATTGTTCTATCATGTCATCCGTTATGCATACATTCAACACAACTCCTTTCCAACGTTAGCAACACACATCTGATGACAAGCATCTTTGAATAAATATGTTCACTTTTTCGTCTTATGTTTTGCTTTACAAGTCTAGTATGTTTCAGAGATAGTTTTTTTCAATTTTTTTCGTTGAGAAATATACAAAAAGACGCTGTATGTATTATTAATACAAAATAATTATCAAACCTTTTTTTGTAAAAGTTGCTCCTCATGCGATCATTGTCTTGACAAGCATTGTAAAGAGGGTATTGCGACACCATCTATGAGATTAATGCAACAGTCAAAGTCATGCTTTTGTTTGAAAAGAAAATGCTTCAGAATAACGATCAGTATTGTGATATTTTAGACTTTCAATGAAATTGATCTATTATTTTTGCATCAGTATCGTGAGGGTGCCGGCGAAAAGGCAGTATTTAATCGATATTCATCTCCCATACCCTCACCCAACATATCGACACGTGAACTTTTTCTCGTTCTGTTTTAATACCGCCATTTATTCCAAATGCGAAATTTCACATGACAATTACCCACAAAGCTACGACGTAATAAGCTAAATAAATATATTGGAAGTGAGCATCAAGGTGCTCAACATCAATCAACTTTCTCACAAACACTCAAGCAAAAGATTTCATCAGTATGCAACTCTTCTCGATTATCATTGTTGCTCTCGTCGTCTTGGCTGTAACGGTGCCGTCGATGATGGCTTATAAGTACTGTCAAATGATTATCAGTTTCTATCAATTCTCTTGACACTCGATTACTTTATTTACAGGCGAGAATGTGGGGCAAGACTGTTCTATCTTCAGAAAATGTTGTGGCCCTTTATGATATACAATGAAAGGGGGCAAATTTAATATGTACTCGTTTTTTTTCCAATTTTTTATGTTCATTTCGATTAAAAACGACTAACTATTCACAAATAAAGAAACTAGCGTATATTTTAAAGTAAATAAGAATGCAAATGTCTATGCTAGAAGAGCAGCTATATCTTGTGTTTCAATATGTCGAAGATCGGAAAATTTTCGATTACGGGTGTTACGGGATGGTGTGTGGGCTGATTTATCTGTTCAACATAAACCATGACAAAGCTGAATTAGTCGAAAAACACATTTGTGATCAGCGTCTCAAACTTCATCAATCTATGTAAGAAAAGTTTCTTTGGGTTTCCTCCATCGGCACATTGTTATGTTTTGTAAACTTTCTGCGCAATATCATACAAAGTCCTTTTCTTACACAGCGTTGTGTAAGGTATTCTCCTTGATGAAATTCCTTCCTTCAATTTTCTAGAAAGTATTTTAAAAAGACCTTGGTATCATTTCAATTAGCTGACTTCATCCTCTTTTTGTTAATAAAAATAAAACCTTTTTTTCTCTGTAAAATGAACTTACATTCAATCTTATGTTTCTATTACAAATATGAACAATAGTTACCTTTGTTTTTCAATCCTCGGAGTACCTTTCTGAGAACGTTTCATCCATTCTTTTGAATTCAAAATTCTTTCAAATTAAAAAGGAATATTTTCAGACAAGCTTCTCTACTCTGAAAATAATGTCAATCAACGGGTATTTCCGTCGTACGTTCTCGTCTCTCAGAAAGACTTTCTTCAAATTCAATTTGTTCAATAATGGCTCACAAGACGAATTTATTATACAAAATCAATGTCGATCCACTCGTTTGTATTTATTTCTTTTGATAACATCGTTACTCTTTATAGGAACCTATTATTCTATAATAACAAAATCCGAAACGGTGATTATGGAATTTCCTTCGTTCGAACAATACTCTTCAATATCGACAGAAACATCTTTACAATGTTTTTGTAGAAAAATTGCAATAAAATATAAAGAATTTATTCAAATAGTCCCATACTATCACGAGTTATGTACGAGTGATTTGATTTCTGATGACTTCATCACAGAATTATATAATACCTATGTACAAACATGGATTAATTCTACTCAAAGTGATTTTTATAACATTGCCGCATTTCAATTCAACACACTCCGTAGGTTATGTGAATTAACTCGTGAAACGACTGAAAACAATCTTGAGATCTTCTTACAAACTGAATTCATTCATTCGCAATTAATTGCTCGAGAATCATTACAAATTCAAATCTCATCATTATTAACTGATTTCATTCAATCAATATCAAAAGCTTTTCTAAGAACATTAACTTTCATTCAAAATATCACCGCACAAAATTTATTTATGACAGGTGGATCAGTAACAAGTGTTTCACCAACGTTGAAAACGGATGACTACGAAGAGAATCCCATCGGTTATCAAGGAATAACTTATCATTTTCTGGATAATTCTTCATGTACTTGTTCAAGTTCGACAAGCACGATTTGTATGGGTTTA